TACCATACTCAACTACTTTTGTATTCCCGACTATACTCCTTTAAGTAATACCTGCGGTAGGGCGGGGCGAAAAAAACCAGACAAAGTCGGGTTAGCAGAAAAAACGGAAGATACCTTTCCTGGGAAAAAACCCAGTCCTACTAACGATTACTAATCGTAAATACTACGTCAATACGTCATAAAATCAAATATGATAAAATCAAATATGATAAAATCAAATATGATAAAATCAAATATGAATCATACGATAAATCACAATAATTCATCAATTGAAATCATACAATAAATCACTCACACCCGTGATCGATTCGAGACAAAATGCTGCTCCGATACTTTCGTATCGGGCAGCTAATTAATCACAAACATATGGCAAGATACATAGTAAAAATCATTATTGAAGATTTTTATTGAAGATTTTCATTAATCGATTTTGAAAATTTCAAATTATTAATAAAAAATGCCTTCGCGCAAACTTTAATAACTTTTGTTATATTAATTTTTTTTTAATTCTGCGGGTTGATTTTTATTCTTTAAGAGTGTCTCTATCAAATAACCGCATATTTTTAAATATTTATACTTTTGTTAAAGTATTATATACATAATAAACATTTATTATAAATCGAAATTTTAAAATCAATTTCAAAAAAAAATCTTCGCTACTGATTTTTATTATATGTCTTGCTCTAAGTTCGTGATTAAACTGACTTTGATATAGTGATCGGAGATTATAAGATTTTATTGTTTAACGTAAATTATCATAGAACACTTAAAACTTTATTTCTATATCAACAAGACCCAATCCTCGAAGATGATCTGGAATAAATGTATATGAGTCTTCGTAATACTAAGCATATCCGTTTCTTTACACGATTCTTTCTTGAATTTATCCTGTGGCTATTTGTTAAAGTTATTAGAATCACCTTTGTAAAAAACTCGATATTTTTCATGTTGAACAGATCCAATTACTATCTTCTGTCCCATGTGAGATAATATAAGTTCATTTCTTGGGTAATCTAGATAACATTTTTTTAGATAGATTTGATTACTACTGTAATTTAACCAAATTTGATAGAAACTTTTTTCTTTATCAAACTTGATTAAAAATTTTTTATATATGAAATTGCTTTATTGTTTAATAATCCAATATTATTAGTTCTATATATATAATATACAGTAGTAATGACTAATTTATAACAAATTATAAAAGTGAAGCTTAGGATTCTTTTTATACCTATAAATATATAATGTATAGTCAATTCTCTTTATTTCATCAAAAATGGTCTTTAAGATTTTATATGTAAAATTTAAGCATTCAATTTTTGAAGAGTTATTATATCCAAAATCCGAGCTTATTAATAAAAATGACAAATGTTCTAGGGTTTTTGTTCAGTTTAGAGAGAAATAAATAGTGTTCAGTTTAACGAGTTCCGATTTAGAGAAAGTTGATTGTAATCATATTTCTAAACACATATTAATTGTGAGGGCCAAGCTGAAATTGACTGAAGCTGAAAATTCGGGGTTTCTATTTAGATCTATTAAACCTACTAAAACCCGTTTATACTCTAATATAAATATTAAATTTTTAGCCTATTTCAGTTTCAGCCATTACAATAATTACCGGACTATTCCTTCTTTTTTTAGTAAAGCTAGTGATTGGACTCGTCAACTCGTGACTCGAATAATTCAGGTTTATCACGATTTGAGTCCGAGTCGAGACCCAAGTCTGCTTTTATAGATTGTAATTTAAAATTTTAATTATTCGAATAATTCGAATAATTCGAATCACGAGACGAATCCATTCTCAAATAAAGCATATAAATAATGGAAATAAAGTATTTAATCCTAATTATATAAATTTTTTAGAAAAATTATTTTGCGTAATTTAAAAAGATCAGTGCATGTAGAGATAATCAAAAAGCTTCATAATTTTGGTTAAATTACGTCGATCACTGAAATCAAAAATATATATCAATATGCGCTGATTATTTTGAACTAAAAATGATTTCTACAGTTTTACATCAGCGTGCACGTTTCATGAATTCTCCTTCATTAAAGATTTCACTTTCCAAATGTAAATTCAATCTTGCTGCATCTATTCCAACTTTAAAACAACTTAACATTATACCCATTCGTTGTCACACTACGAATTCTCTGCTAAATAAACACAATGATTCACATAAAGCCTTAAACTCTTTGAATAAATCTTTTTTAGATTGTAAACGCAGATATCAAACTAATAGTTCAAAACTCAGAAAAGTGAAACAATCAAAAAATGGTATAGTCGAACGAGAGAAAGTTAAGGGATGGGGCGAATTATCAACCGGACAAAAAGGTATTAAAATATTTTATATTTATCATTATTATTGTGTAGAACTTGTATTAATGTGAAAAAAAACAGCTGCAAGAGCTGCTAAGGCAACGACAAATATTAGCGTAATCGTGATAGGAGTTAGTGTTTTTGGTTTGTAATTTTATAAAATTTTTGTTTTTTCTTAAAAAAAAAAAGAAGCATTGATATATCTTTTATCAATTATCATGTTTCTAAAACAAGGTGTATTGTTATATTACGTTATGTCGGAACTTTTTGGGCCAAAAAGCTCTACTAAAGTTTTTAATGAATCATTGGAAAAAATTAGAACCAATCCAGAAGTATGCTGAACTTAAATGATTAATATTCAGACATATGACATGATTTATGTTCTTAGGTCTATTAAATTATCAAATTTAGTGCCAGAAAGTTTTAGGTACACCAATAAAAGGTCATGGAATGCCGATTCCAAATTCAAGACTACGTCATCCTAGAGCCCGGTAAATATTGTCCTAATATAATGTGTTTGACTCTCATTAACGGTCTCCCATTAATCTATCTTCAATACTGCTACAAAATTAAGTCTTCGAGATGTGATAAACACGGATGGCACACCACATCAAATAATGCAATTTTATGTCGAAGGTCCTTTAACTCATGGAAATGCATTATTGGATATGATTAAGGTTGGTTTGTTAAAAAGACTATCTATTCATCAAAAGCCGATTATGTTTTTATTTTAACATTTATTAGGACGATCAAGGAAATTGGGTTATAAAATATTTAGTTGTCGTTATACCTGGTATTTTTTTTAAAAAAATTATAATCTTCCTTTAGTTTCTTGATATTTTCCTTATCTTGAATGATTCTTTAATGTAGGGTATGGTAGACGCATTTATATTGAATACCATGGTGATGTGAAAGATAAAGAAAATTGAAAATAACAGTAAGTATGAATTATAAAACAATACTTATTTTAAAAATTAATATTCCCTATTTTTTTCTATGCTTGTATTCATAGAAAAGTAGTAATATAGATCTTCAGATTAAGATGCTTGAAATAATCGTCTGTTCTTATAGCTGATATTTACTCATCTGAGTTTAATCATAATAATAAACTATTTATGTGCATTAAATACATATAGATTCTTCTCTAAATAGTTTTATACCTTCGCTTTAAACTGATAAAGAAAGGATAGAATTCATCAATACGATCGATTCTCAAGATAGAAAAAAGGATTATGATCAAATATCAAATTTTTTATGCCTCAACATAAGAGGTGTAATTGTAAATAGATATCTGATATGATATATTGATAAAGACTATGATATCATGTCAACTTTAAGGAGATTCGGAACTTTTTTGCTTCAAAAGCAATCATCTATATACACATAAATTACGTTATCTTATTTTGTTATTATTGTTTTTATTCGCTCTTATATATTTTTTGTGCTTGCTCGTGTTTACGCGTAATAACGCGCAGGGGTGTAGTTTTGAATTTCGGCCTATTCAAAATAACGCCCACGGACGTTGTTACAGGCAAATACGGGTACGCTCTATATCCATTTGCTGGCAATTATTTCTTGGATGCACTAGTTAATTTTAAGCATTGTTTTCCTCAATGTATCCAAAAAAGATATAGTATCCGGTGAAATGAATGATGGATGTACGTGTAAGAACCATAAACATCATTTTTGCTATAGTAAACAGCCTAGCTGCATCAAATACTTTGCTGTATTTAGTAAAAGAATGATGAATGTATAAGAACCATGGACATCATTTATTATAGTAAAACAGCCCAGTTGCATCAAATACTTTGTACATTTAAACTTAAAATACTGTATAAAAAATAAATTAAAAGTATTCACTGATTATATTGTAAATTGTTACCGGTAGCATTTATTATAAAACGCGAGCTTATGGTGATTTTGTATTTATAATATGTTTTTAAAACTTTTCTGTTTTATAAGTTCTGCATCTAAAATTTTCGACTAAAGTTTTTTCTTATTAAAGAGTTAGAATTTAGGATAAGTTTAGAAAAAGCTTTTAAGGTACGTATAATATTTTTGTTATAAATAGCACTTACCAATTAATTAGCCAGTTTTTTGAGATAATTATGCATAGATGTAAAACGCCATGGTGCGTGTGAACATTAAATAATATATTCCAATTTGTTTAATTTAACCCGGTATAAATTATCAGCATGAGAATGAAGTTTATTTCTGTTCATTTTAGAATATTTATATTAAGAGGATTAACCATTTAATTATTTACTCCTGTGTTAAACCATAAGCATGAAGTCTATTTCTGCTTATTTATCGCGGTTTTCGAAATGGTTGAAAATTGCAAATAAAAATTTTTTTTTTGACAAACACTCGAACACTCGAATATCTTAGATTGTTTAAGTTGTCATCAGACAATAGTTATGCAGGTTGGTCGTATTCAATCAACGTGCTAAGGTGATCGAGTGTTCGGGTGTTCGAGTGTTTGTCAAAAAAACTTTATTTGCAATTTTCAACCATTTCGAAAACCGCGATAAAATAAGTACCGGTATGTTTATTAACATTACTGGATCTACCATAAAATCCACGGAAATTATTGAGATGCCGTGAACGAAGTCACGAGTAGCGTCGCAAACAAAATTACGTTATATTAATCGTCACGAGGAAATAACTATCGGTACATAGTAATTTTAATAAATAAAAGCTATACGTGGTGATTAATCATAAGTAATTTTGTTGGCATTTGTCACGAGACCAGACCCATAATCCAATGTAAGTATGATACAGAGTACACGTCACTCTGGTTATACCGACATTTTTGAGACATTAGTAAAAAAATTCAAAATGTTGGTACAGTGAGTTATACCGACATTTTATATTAAATTTT